ACATTCTAATGGATGTTTGGAATTTATTGAAAAGCTAGTCTATTTAAAATGCTAATGTTGAATAAATGAAATATGACAGAATAAAAAAAAAAGCTTACATATATAAAATTAGACTCGAGTGAAACGTCAATTAAGATATTATAGAATAGTTTTTAGATGTTAAAGGAAAGGCAAGAATTTATTAGATGTGTCTATCAAAAACCGGTATTAATAATTTAAAAAAATTAACTTTTTCCATACAACGACATATTTATGCATATAAAAACTTTTGTTCTCTATTTTTGGTATAACAATCTATATCGCCTTGGATAGCTCGGATTGTTTTAACGACCAATACGATGAATACAATGGCTTTTAAAGAATTTCTTTTTCTTTTTTCTTGTCAAAAATCTCATGATTCTGATGACTATTAATAGATAAATGTGTCGTTGAATCTCTTCAGTAACACAACCAATTTCTCTATAATATATCTGAATATTTAACGTAATTTGCAACTTAATGAACCATAAACTGCTTGGAAAATAGCCATTTGATATTTCAATAAGCTCTAATCGATAGAATTTAATTGTCAGGCTTGTTTATGTCCGTTAATGAAATTTACATATTTCCTTCTTTCTTGTCCATGTCGTTGTATTATCTTCGATACTCTCTGTGTATTTAGTCACTCTGCTCGCGTTTTCTGCATGATTTTTTGGGCAAGTTAATCGCGAAAGAAGGACGGCCGAAATGCACGATAGGCCGATTATACCGGGCAAAGAGAGAAGAGAGAAAGTTTGTTCTCTTAGCGATATTGCCACACGAGTCTACGGTCTGCTTGATTTACGAGAGCCGTTAATAAAGAGGAGGAGAAAGAGAAGGAGGAAGAGGAGGTGGCGGTGTCGGTGGCGGTGGTGGCGATGGCGGCGGCGATGGCGTAGCGGGGGGAGAGGAAGCGTTGGAGCCGATAAATGGCGCCGCCGGACTGAACTGGCTTATCTTTGTGACCGCGCGTCTTTTTCAATGCTGCTTTTTATTCGCGAAATCTGGGTTAGGCGATTGATCTGTACTGGGTTCTAATTGCTGATGGAACGAGATTATCGAACTGCATTGTAAATGTCGGGAAACGTTATTTTAAAGGGTGATCCGAACGACGAACTTGGAGACCGGTTCACTCGTAAAAAACAATGGATTACTATTTAGTTTTCCCTCCGTCCCTCATTTTCGAATTTTTTCCAATTGCTTGCTTCAAGTTATAATAGATGCGAAGGTCATTCGATATGAAAATCAGACTCTTATCCTCGTGAATTTTAACTATGCTTAAGCGACTCGAGTATACTCGTGTTCTAGGGTACTATTATATGACTAAAAATAGGAAGTAATTGTATAACAGAGTGATACTTGTTTGATAAAACTAAAGGTCACTCGACTAAATTTCAAGTTTATGACAGCATTTTAAACTCTTCTCATTTCTGTAAATTTAAATTAAAAATATAGTAAATAATTATTTATTTTACCAATATATAATTTAATCCTGTTAGGATTTTAACTTGCTTTTCACCTTTTAAAATTACATTATTATTTGCATGTGTGTATGTTGTTTTATTTGCTTGAATAAAAGCGTTTTTATAAAACAAGAATCGAAAGGCAATTTTAGAAATAAGTAAGCACCATGAAAACTTGATTGTGAGCTGTAAAAATTTGTATTTATTTCTTTAACGAATATGTAGTGTTTCTTAGGTGTAATATCGTTATTTTTATTTCCTTTTTTTTTTTATTGAAAAATCAGTAAATGAAAGGTTTAAGGCTGTTTAATATTAATTTATTTTCTCCTTTAAATATAATATTTATCGCAGTTATTTTCAAGTTTTGAAGATACATAAATAAATGAGATATGTCATTGCAAATTATAGATGTACGTGTTTCCAGATAATAAAGAACAAAAATTTTCATAAAAATAATTTCTTTTGTTATAAATAAAGATCATTAATTTGATGAGAATAATAATAATAATAATAATAATAATAATAATAATCATAATAATAATAATAATAAGAGCAACAAAAAGAAGAAGAAATCTGTTTAGAAACCTGATAAAGAATTTTTATTTTTAATGTAATAATATCAAATAAACTTCAACTTAAATCATTCGAACAATTAATTGAAAATCATAAGAACATGAAATATCGAGTTTGTGTCGTAGTACTTATCTATCTATACATCCTACGTAAATTCATTAAATTCAATGTCAAAATGAACAAACACGCACGACTAATCTGAAATCACAGTTTTTCACAGAGCAATTCCTGATAATCTTGCTCTATTAAGAAACTATGTCAAAGAAAATAAAGAAGAATTAAAAAACCTCCGCTCCTTTGCCTTAGTGCTCATCCTCATTCGAGATCAGTTTATGTTATGAGGTAATTCAAGTGCAAAATCTACTCTGACCTACTTGATTTTAAGTGGTGATTTTGTTTCATAATCACGTCTCAAGCATACTAAACTATTTCACGCAGCCGTTTTGTCCATATCCACACCCTAGCTACTCGAGTGTAGTGTATTCCATTCCTGTAATTGTTGTTTATATATGTGTTGTCATTTTTTGCTTTGCCGGTTGCTTACTATCTGACATGAAAGTCAGTCCCTTGCCTTTAGAAAACTAATATTATTGTACGGAATTTGACTCTGACCTCTCTCCAACCTCCACCCGTACCACCCTGTTTTTTGCGTCGACTTCTTATCCTCCAGCGGTGAAACTCAGGCTTTTAAATGTGACAGACTGCGAGCCAAGATCATTGAACCTTTTTATATATTTTATTTTCTAAAGTTGCACGCAATGCTAAACTGCCTAGCTATAATCGGTTTCTCGTCAAGTGCTTCTTTCTTATTTGGCAATGCATTTGTACTATCAAGAAATTCCACGATTACATTACCAATCTGCGATATTCTACTTTTTATATACAAACAATTTTATCTAAATATGGATTTGAATGGATGGAGAATGTGCACCTATTTCCAAATACGATGAGTTTTGACAACATAACGACTACTTTCAACAGCGCGTTGTAACTAGACTAATGTCATCCGTAACTTTTCATATTTTGATTAATTCAGAATTTATTTTAAGCATTTATTATAATTTAGCTAAGTTAATAAGTAAGTTACTACACTTCGAGACAAAATATTGATGAAAAGAACTCCATGTTAAGTTAATTTTTATGTAATTGTGCAAATTGTTATACTTATTAAATGATAATTGAGGAGAGTTATTGAGAGAGATAATTGAGTACTATATAAAATATGAGACAATGCTGAAGGCAAATTTTCAGTTTATCGTTCATTTGCAATATAAATTCCTGACTACCTTGTAAAAGTCGGCCCAATGCATTTGTAATGCTATAATCAACCATGCAATATTATTACATACTAATATTAAATTACGATGAAGTTATTGATTAGTAGTTTATCACGAAACTTCTTAACGTTCCTTTAAATTATGCTTTCAATATTTTCTAAAATCATAAAATTCTCGAAAATAAAGCTATTCATACCTTTAAATACATTGAAAAAAAATGCCTATTATCTAATTTATGTATAAATAATATTTAATTGAGAACAAATATTTTTCGTAGACACTTTTTATTTTATGATATTTTTTTTTTAATTCATAAAAAATGTTATGTAATGCTAAAATTTGTCTGAATGATTTTTAAAAACCCACAATAATTCTATGTCTATATTGGTCATTTGAAATATGTCATTGTCGTATAAACCCAGCATATTGTGCATAATATTGGCAAGACTCCCAACTACGATTTAGTATTGCTCTCTGATATGAAAACCATAGTCTTAGAAAAGCTTTTAGCAGCATCGTATACTAAAAATATTATTCAAAAATTTGAAAACACTCCCTATTTTCTAGTATAATGAAGAAAATTTTGAAAAAAAAGTTGAAAATTGATTATAATACTAGTTATAATATTATAATAGTCATTATTAATAATATATTACTATAATACTAGTAATGTTAAGCTTAAATTATTGTAACTATTTAAGTTCACATGTAAATGGACCAATCATAAATATTAGCTGATAAACATTAAATATAGAGCTTAATATATAAATAAGAATTATGCTCTGTTTCTCTTAGTAAGCGACTAATTTATCGAAATTACTTCCGAAATATAAAAGAGCCAAGGGTAACACTTAATTTTTAATACATGCATTGCGATAAACCTCTTTCATTATTTATACATACATACACTCTCATATATATATATATATATATCACTCACTCATAAATGATTCATATCATATATCAGAATACGTGTTCATGAAGCTTTGTTGAAGAGATTTTATTATTACAGTATCGTTATTATTTTCAACACTATTCTATTTTGTTTATACTTGTACTACTTTCTCTTATTTGATTAGTTTTTATTGAAATGTCACTGTTTAAAACATTAAATTTAAATCAGATATATGCTTCAAAGCGCAGTTCGACATAATATTCTATGATATGATGCTAATTCAATATATGACATTTTATTGAAAATAATTTTAAAGGCATATCATCGGAGACAATGATATTCTCTATTTAATTATAATTCAAATATTGTTTTTTTTTTTCATATAGGAGTTTGAAAATTAAAAAAAAACTGTTTGAAATATATTAGGTAAGCGAACGTGTATCGTCGGTATATCGCCCGATTGCTTTCAATTAGTACCTTACGAATAGCACCACAAGACGTCACTTGAAAGTGCGATAAGAAATAAACCATAGCACACAATGGAACTGAGCACCGTGACAATTCGACACTGCGCTAACTGTTTTTGTTCCTATCATCGATTCACCTGGCCATTCTTTAACTACAGGCATTCCTTTTTCTTTCTTTTTTTATTTCTTGCGCTGGACGATGCTCGTTTCGTTTTGCGTTGATTTATAAGCGAGGGCTCATTCGTATGCCGACCCGATAAATGGCAATGGCTTTTTAACAGCGGTTTTGTTTCGCCTTTGCTTGCAGAATGGAGTGGGTGGAGATCATCGAGCCGAGGACAAAGGAGCACATGTATGCCAACCTGACGACTGGCGAGTGCGTCTGGGACCCGCCACCCGGTGTACCTGTGTAAGTTTCATATATACCTCTGGACTTTTGACGTATTTAATACCGCGCTACCGAGTTAATTTGTAATGCAGTGATGTTTCCCGGGCATCACCAGCTGCATCTCCCAAGTGCGCCATTCGTTTTAGAAAACTAATAGGCGCATTGATGTCTGACGTGATGGTCGGTCAACGTTCTTAAGCATCAACCCAACCCAGTGATATTTTCAAGATTTATGTGGAATATAACTGTTCGCGAACACGTGCTGTCATTCCATATGACGGGAGCGCAATGTGCCGTTTTACAACGAAACTTCCGTCCAAGAGTTATTTTAATTTATCATTCGATTTTTCCATCATTATACAAAAAAAAAAAAAAAAAAATTAAATGATTCGTCGAAATTTTTGCTCTGGATTTATGGCTTTTTGCCGACTTTCCACTTTATCTACATCCTATTTAATTTACAAAACTGAAATTTAATATTTATTGCGTAATCGTAAATGCACTTGCGATATTTTTGCCTACTTCGTTTGATGTTATGCAGCCAACAAAGCACATGCATTACAAACAAAGTCTACTTATCCGTATTTAAATACATAATTGCGTAATATAATTTTGCCAACAATGAACGTGCTTCCAATGCATTTATACATTTATAAATATAATCGTTTTTAGGGGCCAATCGGTCAGCCATTATTATTCAAGTTTTATAGTATTGTAAATATCAAAATGAATATAGATATAAAATGCAAACAAAATTCTAATTTGGAAACGTGATTTAATCATATTGTTTATAGTCCATGAAAATAATGTAATAATCGACAATATATTTAACCTTCTGTTAACAAAATTTTGTAACTAGCGCGCTCCAGTGCTCTTCATTATCGGTAAATCTATTATGGAAAGTTCGAGCTTAAAGGAAAACCTGCTCTACACTCGTGAGCTACATTAATTGAATTAATCGGCTAAGATTATACTGGTTGCTGAGGTAAATGAAGAAAAAATAGAGGTAACCTGCACTTGCTGCATGTACATTCATCCCTGAGCTGACGGGCGAAAGCCACGAAGTTATATCGACAAATCATTTAAATATTGGCGCGAGAAGAGGCTTAGCATTTAGTTTTGTGACATTCTCGTGAAATTTACTTCCTGCTCCTGTGACCATCTATTTAGATTAGAGAAAGTTGTCCCTTCATCGGCAGTTGTTCTCTCTTAATACCGATTATCTGTATAAGGGAACGTGCAGGTTTCCTTACGCTACGGATCGCGTGCCCGAGCTCACGATGACACTACATTTTCTATCGATTTCAATCTCCTATTGCATATGGCTAATTTCTATAATGGTCGTAAGAAAGATGAGGCGACGTGAAAAAACGCCAGGTACTGTTCGCGTTGAAATGTCATACGAATGTCTTGATATTAGTAATAGTGACTAGCTTTTTGGTTGCAATGAGTGTAATATCTCAAATACTTTACGCTCATAGTACGTTTTTCTCCCCTTAGAGAACACTTGTACGTGCCTCTTAGAGAGCTACTTATTTGCCGTGGAAAAAAGTAAGCTTTGTTCGTGTGCGAAAAAAATATCTTATTGCATATGGCTATACTTCTTTTCATATTGAATTTGCAGCATTGAATTATTTACATTTTCAATTAACAATAACATGTTTCCAATATAATAAAATCAAGATTCTTACATAGTAAAAATTGATAAAATTATATTGCCTTTATCAGTTAATTCGTTTTACAAATATTTTTAATATAAAAGCAAAAAGTAGTTGTATAATTTTTAATGATTATTTAAATATAAATTTAATGATATTTTTTGTTTAACGATTTTCAATGTATAGTAATTTAAGTACAGTTTGGTATAGATTTATTAACGAAATTGAAATAATTCTCTCTTACGTAATACCTGATTTTTTGATATTTTTTTATTTCTAAAAAATCAATAATGTCGATTAAAGGTATCGATTCTTTATCTATAGTTTTACGTCTCACTTAAGATTTCAACTAATTTTAAATAACATTAATTATTTTAGTTCACAAACAAATATATTTTACGGCTTGACACTTACGATGTTGAAGAAAATTAATTAAAGCAGTTCTTAATAAATTTGCTAAGAATAAACGAATTCTGGATATGCAGTATGTAATGTCATAATATCGATAATAATAATATTACATAGTCATAGCTACGAGTATGAATTTGCAGAAATAAATTATTATATTATTGTTTAAGATTATTGGGAATTAACTAAATTTTTGAAAACTATTTCATACTTATGACTAAGAAGTATCTTTGTCGTTAATGAATTAAAAAATATTTAGTAAACTTGTAGCGGTTTTATATATTTTAATAAAATACTACCAAAATAAAAGAAGAAGGTATATTTAGTAGATTCTATTATTTTCTTATTCTGTATTATATTAATATCTTACATTATAGTACATTTAATTTAAATTTACACGACTTTTACAAATTTCTTAATTACAAATTTACTTTTCACTTTAGATCAATAAAATTAATTGATTATTTTTACGTATGTTTTTACTTAAAATTATTGTATTATGAATCTCGATAATAATTTTGTCCATAATTTTTCTGTACCTTTATAGATATTAATTAATCAATTATCAATTTAAATTTACATCACAGCTATTTTTGTAATTAACGATCAATAAGTATTTAAGATGAATCATTATTAAAAAAATTTTTTTTTTATTCGAATGTGGAAACTGTGGAAACTATTATTATAATCTGAATGTTTATTGGCACTTAATTTATTAGCAAGCAGTCTTAAGGCATATTGATCGAAGTAGTTAACGACGTGGGATATATCGTTAATTTTCTCATTAATTATAAGTTTAAATTCATTAGTATTTATGTAAAACCTCGTTACCTCATATTTTTCAGTAGCCAAAATTGACGTGTGAAAGTCTTATTGTAATATCATTTGTCATTGATTATCGATTATGTTACGCAAAATTTACGAGGAGTTGTATTAAAAAATTATTTCGAGGCCGAAAATTGTGTGCGTAAATCGCGAATCAGCGCATAGATCGTGCCTATATTGCAATAATAATTCATTGTTTTGGACTTTTAATTTCCAGAAAGAAAACTGATAACAATCAGTGGTGGGAATTGTTCGACCAGAGCACATCTCGCTTTTACTACTACAATGCAACGTCCCAGAAGACTGTGTGGCATCGACCCACCGACTGTGATATTATTCCACTAGCTAAATTACAAGTAAGTATTTAATATATCTTTGTTACGCAGAGGCCCGGGGGTTGGGTGTGGGTGGGATGGTTTTTATTTTCATAGATTTGCCAAATGGAAATTATTATTTTATAAATCAATGCTGGAGATACGTTACTAACTTACGCATAGGTTAAAGTACGGAACTCGGAATAACGGGGTCGATAGCAACTTTAAGGAGCGTTCGTTCCGTTAGCCATTAATTTCCGACATCGTGAGCTTATAAAATGAAACGATAAAAGATTCTAGTCCTTAAACAACAATAACAAAATGACCTCCGACTCGATACAGTTGTATCCATCCCAGCTAGCGGATGTTTATATTTAATTACGTTGGCTGCGCGCGATCGAGTCGCACTTTCACTTACGAAAGCTAATGCCGTCAGACAGATAAAGCCTCTTTTACCGGGACTCCCGAGTGGCAAGCTACAACAGCACGGACATAACTATTTCGAGTTGCTTAATTATTTATCGAGCAGTTTACGTGCGTCCGATAAGTCGAGTCCCCGCGGCAATCTTTTGGCACGGGCCCAGAACCGCCTGGTCGAAGTACGTCCGACGAAGTTTCGAAGAAGCCCGGTTACGCGACACCAAACAACTGCTTTTTAATAATCCCTCGAGCCTCTCTTACAATGTATTCGCGGGGAGGATGCGCATCATCCCGGGCCGGACGGCCGACCGTTTACACCATAAACAGCCATTAGGTTAGAAAAAGCGAGGTGTCGAGGGGCTCTTTGTCTCTCCTACTCGGGGCCCTCGATGGTGCGAGGATGATGAGCGAGCGCGATCGCTATAAATAGTTTAAAGGCTGCTGCTTTACCCGGCGCTCGGCCGGAGGGGCATGAGATGGAAGGGGGAGTACGGAGCGAGCATGAGGAATGACGAGGGGGGAATTATGTTGCGCTGTATATCGCGGGATTCTACGCGTACCAAATGCCGCGGTGAAAAGTGCCAGCTGCTGCGCGTGAGGGGCGCCACCTGCGTGATGTCCTCTCGCAGGGCGCTTTTCCGCGGGAAGTCACCCGACGTTCTAAATACACATCTCCGAGCCACCATCGCATGCCGCGGTTCTTCCTTACATATCTCGCTTTATGAGCTTACGTCTTTATTGATATGCTACGTCTCTCGATCGCAGTGCGCGACGTGCCACCTTGACTAGTCCTAATGAGTTCCTTGATTTATCGTCCTTGATAAAGTCCTGTCGAATGCTTTATCTTGTAAGCCTTAACGCTAAGCCTTTATGGTATTATTGCCTGACAGTGATGAATTTTTGCGACTCAGCATACATGCATAGCAATAAGACCCTAATATTCAATTGGACGGCGTAGTTGAGTGTGATTAAGCTCTGGCAATTGATTTTTATTTTAATATCGTTTCAAAGGCTTATATATTCTTCACCGAATGATGTGCTTTTAATGAGAATCGAGAGTTGCAAAAGTAAAGCCGTTGCCATACTCCCACGACTGTCTCTGCCCGACAAAAGAATTCACTTTATTCCTTAAAGAGCTCCTATTTGATTACGTGGTCATGGAAATATGAAGGTTACTCAATTTATGGTAAAGCTATTTATCTTTGGAGCACATTCGAGGAGAACTAAATGTAGATATGTTTTGTTCAATGGTCTGATAAACTCTTGCGGAGAAGTATTTTTCATTATAGGATAAATGAGCTCTTTCGTTTCCAAACAATGTCCTCTCTACGCCTGAGCTCGCGTCAAACATTACGCAATAAATACTTTCATCCTCTAATTCATAATATTACATGTAATAATAAATATTATTTCTAGCGCTACTCCTCGATATCATTAACACAATATCATTACTAATAATAATTATGCATTACTATTACTCGCCATAATTTAATATTAATTTTTGCATTACATTTCGATTTAATAGATCTTGAAAATGGTACTTATTTAATCAAACTAGTTCATGTTTCATACTCGTTATTTTAATACGGCGTACATCTTGGCGATTTGAACGCATATTGAAATGGATACATTGCATAATATTTTTCATATAATATTCAATCGAGCTCGCGTGCATACGAGATGCATTTGCGTATATTTAAAACTTTTGATTGTGCATGGAGACTTTTATATATCCGTTATTCAAAGCTGTTTAACCTGAATAACACGATCAAATCATTTATTTAAAGGTTAAATAATACTAATGGAAATTGCAATTGCACGATTTGTTGTTCAAAACTTTCAGCAGCTACGATATAACTAATTTTAAATCTTTTCTAAAATAATTTCTAAATCCAGAGTCCATATCAAAATTTTTAATCACCCAGCTTTATTAGCAATATTGTAAAAGCTTACGTGTAAAATCTTTATAGCTATCGTTAAAAATGTTAATTATTACGATAATCATTAACAAGAAACAGGCTGATTTAAAAATATTCGATGTCAGACTAAAACGAAAGAATGTAGCACATCGTATGCGAAGGAAAAATCGTTCTTCGATAATCTCCGATTTATTATTCGCATTCTATTTTCGAGGAAATGCAATATCAAATTCAATAGAATCATTAATATTCATATGCGGACGTTGATGGGCAAATCTACAATTAAGCATTTGGCAATCTAATTAATAACCCCAATGTCACGAAACACAATTCTCTTCTTCATGCTCCACGAATTAACTGTCGTATTATTTTATGAAATAGGAAGAAATTTTTTTTTTCCGTTGATAAATCCAAATAATATATTCCATTCGCTTGACATATCAATGTAAAATAATTCGATAAATCTTTTTTTTAACATGACATTACAGACGCTGAAGCAAAATACGGAACCGGCCAGCACTGGCGGAGGGATGGATAGCCTGAAGTGTGGCGAGCCCAAAAGAAAGGAGACCGTGTCGACGCAGACTCAAACTCCTACGGTTGGTCGCTCAGGGCGCTTTAATCGCCAAGATAATCCTAGTCTAGCTATTACTTTGGTAATTTGTTTATTTTCCGTTTGCTTTTCGATTGTTATTGCCCGTGAGTATATCCAAGCACATCATGCTCGATTCAACATGGCAATATACAATTAGTCATTGTTGTCGCCTCGTTTTTGTTTTCCCGTTTATTTATATCTGCCTTTGATGTGCTTTATTTTTTTTATTGAATTCATTCGATCATGTAGAATATTATAGTTTTAAACCAATTAGAGTTAACTGTAGATATTTACCTACAAAGGATCTGCATAATTGTAGCTGGATTTTTATAATGATAATAGTGAGAAGAACCAATGTGCTATTGAGCATATATAATTTTCATTTGTATCGAAAAATGTTTAAATTTAGGCTTATCGTTTGCATTGTAATTGACTAGCTTGTTTAAGTGTAAAAACGTATTCATTGAATTTTCAAACTTAAATAATTCATCGTTTTATTATGAAAGAGTAGTGATATTATCAACTTCTAGGAACACACGATTTGTGGTTATTCTCGATACTTTGATGTTTTGTAACGTATCAAGTGTCAATTACTTATTATCTTTTACGCTTGTAGAAGTAGGTGAAAAATAAAAATAGAAATTCCCTGCAAATTATGAAGCTGCCAATCGGATATCACAACCTCTTTGCTTTATTTCAAATTCTCAAACAAACTATAAATATTTATCGATAGTATATAAGCTGTACAAAAAATCAAAAAATAATAAGACATTAAAATGCATCATAAGGTTTTGCCAACTTTTTTTTGTACAGTTCTTTTGAAAATCATTTTGTATAAATACATGTGTCTGTAAAGAGTTTCCTGATATATAGAATATTCATTTTATTAACTAACTCCTGCCCATTTGTCGGAATAACGGTTATTTATCGGTTCATTCGAACAATCAGCTATACAGAAATATCCGAACGATTCATTCTAAACAGTTTCTTTTCTATATTAATTGACATTCGTTTTATCGATTTACTTGCGTTATGCAATGAGAAAAGTATTAAATTAGACGCTAATGGAAAGCACGGGTAAAAATGTATAACGTAATTTATAAACGATATTTATAATAAGCAATTACCTTGAGTCATTGTAAATCAGGTAGTATAATTAAATTCTTTAACGTTTGAACGAATGTTAAACGAAATTTATCTATATGATCTTGAAAATTTACTGAAAAAAGCATAAGTTCATTATATTTAATAAAGAATTTTCGTAATGATTTTTATTTTCTGATAAATAATATTTCTAAATATTTCATTATGAAATTTGTTTAAACAACATAATTTTACAAAAATAACGTAATTTTAAAAAACTTCGTCAATTATTAAATGAAACAACATTAAATAAAAATTAATTATATTGCTCATTATTTTGTAAAAATTAAAATCGAAGAAAATACGAATCCAATGTTAATAATGACAATATCTGAAGGATGGCGATCGTTCATAACTATCATTAATACGATTTTGTTCGAGAATAAATGCACAATAGTAATATAACGTAGAATTTCCTAACAAATTCTATCTAGTAAAATATTCTTTCAAAAGTACCATTGAAATATATAACTAAAACATAAATAGATTTAGGCTCAATAAATTTCAAATTTTATTTTTTATTTTGATTTGGCTTTTACTTTAACTACATTGTCGATTTTTTTATTAACAAATGATATTCAATATATTCAATACGAGATCCAATAAATTAGTAGATAAAGTGTACCTCTTTTTATAATAAACTATGCGATCCTTAAGAACCTCATTTCCATCAATGGCATACTAGCGATAAAATCCATAAGTTTATAAATAAAAAGAAGGCGAAAAGAAAATTAAAAACGTAAAATGGTTTGCCACATTCGGCAGCAAATCGGAGCATGTAAGCCGCACAGTCCAGGAACGGTTGCTGATTTGCAGACCTCGCCGCCGTCCCCGAGTCCCTCGGCTCGTCGTCATCACCACCACCACCACCACCACCATCACCACAGTAACAACAACAATAACAACAACAACAATAATAACAACAGGCACCACCACAGGCACAACGAGCAGCAGCAGGTGCATCATCATCAGCAGCAACAGCCCCAGGCGCTCCAACAGCCACCGACCCGCCGACATCACAACCATTCTCAGGACTCGGGTCGCTCGAGCGATAGTTCCGTATCCCATAGTCGCACCTCTTTGGAATCCGGAAGCTACCGACTTCTGGATTCGCCCCACCGTCACCATCACCGTTCGCCCAACCAGCCGCCTCCTCCGCCAATCATTTCTCAACAGCAACACCAGCAATACCAACAGCATCAACAACATCAGCAGCATCAGCAGCATCAACATAATCAACAACACCAACAACACCCACAACAACCACCGCCACCCCAGAGGCAGCACTCGATCGCTGGAGCTGGAGGTACAATGGAAGTGAGGTGTCACAACAAAAGCGGCACCCTCGAGACCGCCAAGAATCAAAAGAGTCTCTCCACCAGTGATACACCCCCATCCTTAGGTCTGTCCATGTCCACGAGCACGCCACTTTTCAAGAAGAAGACCTTCATCGAGCCCCAAAGAGATGCCAAGCGAGACGTCAATCTCGACTTTGAAAAGAGTAAGAATGGTAAGTGACGCGCTTTCGTTTCGGTGAATTCGCACTTTTGATTATGTTTTAGAATATTTTTGACAGTGGCCGCTTCAAAACTTCATTATTAATTTAAAGTCTATAAATATCTTTGAAAAATCTAAAAAAGCAAAAAAAAAAGTGAGTAATTAAAGCTTTTTGTTCAGATATTTAATAATTCTATTTGGAATTTTAAAACTAATAATGTTCAAAAAAGAAAATTATATTAATGTTTGAAAAACTAAAGGACGTTGGTCATATTCTTAAAAATTAAGATAGAGTTGTATTTCTGATAGTGAAAAAATTTTAATTATCGTATTTTTAATGTCTTAAAATTATACATAATAGGAGTTTTAATGTAAACAAATTAAAAAATTTATTGATATATATATATATATATATATATATATATATACTGCATTTAAATATTTAAATATTTATATATTTAACTAGATTTTATTTCGTAAAAAAAATTGATTGTTAAAAGGTTTTATTTGAATTAAAAGCTTTAGATTTTGAAACTGCAAAAAAGAATCGATCAAAAGATTTTAATATATAATTAAAAGAAATTCAAAGATTTAAGAATAAAAATATTTGAACAAAATCATTTGTAAGGAAAGATAAATATTTTTACATTTATTTTAGCCATTTCTTTCTTATAAATATAAATGAGTAAGAAAATATTTTTGATTGTAATCAGCAACTTAAAATTTTCTTTATATTATTTCTAAGATTAGTATACCAGTTATTAATTTATAGAATTTATTTATAGATATTCCATAGTTAAAAGTATGTCGTTGATTTCAGAATGTATAATATATTTTATCTATTATCAAGATTTGATAAAATTATCTACAAACTCGACATTGACTTACGTCAGTATTGATCATAATTTTCATTTTAATTATTACGATCAATGAATATAAATTTATACGTTTCTTATATCCACTGTAATTCTAAACTGTTTTCTTTCTAAACCTTGCCAGGAATCAGGAATTCAGAATTTCGCGAGATATTAGAGGCTGCACTAAGAGGAAAGTACGGTATTCATAATTATAAAAATACTAAAATAGTAAAGCATATCATCATATCATCGCAACCATATCGCAAAATTTTTTTCATTTGGTAATTCCATTAATTACAACATTATGTAAGATTAATTCGACCTTTTCATTTATAATGAAAATATTTAAATGAAATTTAATAACTTATCAATGCATATTGCTAATAATATTTTTAAAGATATTTTTCTATTGGTTACAAAAATAGCACAATGCTTACCATCAATAATTGTATAAATTCATCTCATCTTTAATCCCCAAATTTTTATATTTAATATATATAATATGGAATATTAAAAATTTAAAGAAAAAACACAAAAGCTTCTTAGAAACTTATATTATATAAAGAAAGAATAAAACAGAATAAATAAAACACCCATCGCAATAGCTTGTATTATGTACAATTTTTAGTAAAAGTTTAGGAAACATTATAAATAATAATATATTCATATATATATATATATATATATATATATATATATAAATTATCATATGAATAAATATTGGTACGTATTTAGTGCTCTGAAAGTTTTTTACATTTACGTAAAAGAACTAATTAACGAACATGTCAAAGTATAAGCAATTCCACGTCTATATATAAATTTAGTTGAGCCTAAAAATATGTTTACATTTTTTATATTTTCATATTTTTGTATTTTATTTTCATATTTTTTTATTTTCCACAACTTTTTATATTTTAATGCATCTTGCATTCATGTACGCAAATATACACATTCTTATAATAAGAATACATTGATTTTTTACATATAAATTATATGATTTCAATTCTTTTTATTGCCTGAAATAAAAATACTATGTGATTATATTGCATAGCTTTGAACGAAATGGTGTTGAAATATAATATAAAATGCGACGATAAAATAATTGTTTAAGAATTAATTTAGAAAAATCGAAGTTTACATCATGCCATATTCTCACTTATTTTCAACTTTAACGAGCTTATGCGAATTTTTTATTTAATACGAAAAAGTGAGAGAGAGAGAGAGAGAGAGGGGGGGGCAGAGGGAGAGAGTGAGAGAGAGACATAGATCAGTATCTTGTAGAAAAGTATTTGACGAGTGAAAAAGTTTGCCATAAAAAGGGGAGCACCTGGAGCTCATTCATAATCGACATTGGGGATGAAAGGATAAATACTCATCGATAATCACTGCATTATACGTAGCGTACACCAAAACGCCCATTCGAATAATCATCCATATAAAACGATCTCATGTAATATCATCTTTATGATCCTGTACGTCCGCTGTGCAGGTCGCGACAATAGAGGCGCCTATGGTCAGCAGGAGCCCAGTTGCACATCCCCATACCGCGAGCCCATCAATAGCTTCCGACCGCAGGAGGCACCGAGCCACCGATCCACTGATGCCCAACAGCAGCAACAGCAGCAGCACAATTACAGCTACAAAGCCCAGGGCGACAAGTACCGCTCCTTGCTGGAGCCCTCGGGGCCCATCCGCTACCAGCGCGAGCGTGTTAACAGTCTCGACAAGTCCAGTCCCGCCTACTACGGAGGCGCGAGTCACGCTCGCGGGGTTGCGGCGTCGAAGCAGCCGAGTGCTGAAGGCACCGGGAGTATTGGAAGACGACACCATGGTTGTGCAGTCTCCATCTCCGAGGCCAACGTACGCGAGATGTACGGCGCGATAAAGGGGGAGCGCAACGAGCCGACCAAGGCCCTCGCGCCCAGGGCCCCGCCGGCGGTCCAGCCTTCCATCGCCGCCAAGCAGCGGAGCTTCGATGTCGCGCAGGATAGGGAGGTCTCTAGACCGGAACGGGACAAGGACTTCAGACGGCCGACACCTTGCAATAATTCCACGGACAGTAAGTCGATAGATAGGAACGACCGTTTTCCATTATCCGTTACTCTCGACTTTATTTTGACGGATGCTATTAGCTATTATGGAATACTGATTTTTATACAGGTCCTTGCTCTTATCGGCATGCCCCATAGCAGACTCGTGAAAATGATTGAATTGTAGATTTTAGCTTTATGTGTCTCAGATCTATATAGCCGAGTATATACATACATATGCGCGCATGCCCCTGTGAAATTTTCTTACGCCAGCTTCTTAATGTATCTATAAAGAATATACAATTCTCCCTTTGTAATAATACAAAATTTTAATAGAATCCCTAGTATATTTACGGTACGGTCTGCATCTCCATAAATTTTAATATAACGACAGACTATCGCGGTATTATTAAATTAAAAATATCTTCCTACGCTTTACATAAAATGTTTACTAGTTACAGAAATCGTAATCTTTATTGAGAATCACGTACATGTATTTTACATGCTCGAAACTGGTTCTTATAACCCTAGTCTTAAACTGTTTCAAGTTAATGGTCATATCCATATTAAACAGGGTTATAAAACGCTTTAAAAATACTTTTTATAATGAACTTAAATGGAAATTGAAAATTTTATTCTCGGCTCTCCTCACGTAATGAAAAAGCCAGAGTGAACTTATTTACACTAAACATTATGCACTTTTATATATTAAATGATTTATATATTATTTGAAATCTGTCTGAAAGACGATTCACATTATCCACGAAAAGACAATTACCAAGAATTGGATCGATTCGCGGCCATAATTATGACAAATTTTCTGTCCAAACTCGCTATAACGTAACGTTTATTATTAATTATATAAGCAAGGCAATTAACAAATCCCTCGCTTTTACGACTAATTTTCTGCATTAGATATTCCACAACCGATGGCTCGCAGCTACAGTTTCGTGCAGCAGCAAAAGCAGCAGCAGAAGATGAATAAGCAGGTGTCGCGACACCGCGACCGGGACGACGACTCGATGCACGAGCGTTACCTTATGGCTCAAGGTCTCGATCAGTCGCAACGGCGACTCAGCAGTAATAGCAGCAGTAGTGCCAGCGCCAGCAGCAACAGCAACGGAAGTGGCAGCGGCAGCAGCGGTAGCAACAGCGCCGACGAAGCCGATGATATCGACGAGCTCAGCGGCATTGACGAAGGAAAAAAGAAGCGCAGAAACGGCAACGCGAGCCCGCCCACTTCACCCTTCTACGGCAATCTCCTCGTCGATGCCGATCACCTACTACCCCTTCAACACTATATACTTCAGCAAGCAAAGCTCTCCGGTACGTAAGAGTCTTATTTTGTATTATGTGCTCAAGCATAGTTGGGACATTTATCAAAGCTCCTAGCTCATCTTCGCTCATTATCACCGTACTTTTATCTATAAGCCCTACGGAATATAAAGATATTGTGCACAAATTTCGACGATGACCTCGATGGCCTCGATGCCCGATGCCCGATGCCAAGTATACCGATAAATAGTAATTGTATAAATCATTTATATATTACATTGGCTTATTATTATTTTTCAAGTAGTTGGTAGTTGGCCATTCAATTTCATTCGCAATATTTTATCATCTACAAGATGCTTAAAATACGTATTATCGTATGTTCCGAATAGGTTGTTATAAATTTGGCGATCCACTAATGGTTGAGGAGGAAGGGGATGACTCTTTAGACGAGGAAGGAGGAAGAGGCACCGAATTACGGGGAAGAGGCGAGGATGACTCCGATGATCAATTTGCCGATGATGAGGCAGCCAGTAATCAAGGAGATTCGTCGAGTCAAGAATACCTTGAAGATCATTATGCAGGTCAGTTCATGGATTTTACATAAGCTTATTATTAGCGAAAAAACGATTGCGTTATTCTTCTCTTATCGAACAAATGGTAACACGTTGAAATTGCGATCGAGTCACATTGTAAAAACGTGCAATATCGATGCTCTTAATCTTTAAAAACTCGAATTTCATTAATACGTATATGATGGGTAGCAGCGACATTCACTTACGAAGTTAACATCCGCTTTGCAAATACAATTAAGGAAAATGTATGTCGAGCGATTGCATTAAGCAGAATTATCACAATACTTATAAAACAAAGCAAAGCTATAAACTACAAAATACTTTAACTTGCAGACTTAGGCAACTACGATACGGCAGGCTTAGCTACTTACTACAATACAGCGGATACTCTTAGCAGGCCACAAGCAACGCCGCCACCCCCTCCAAACATCGTATCTCAGGCAGAGGCGCGTGAAAGCATCATAGCCGCGAGACCGATATCCTTACCGGCTCCAACAGTGATAACGGGGCGTGGCGGTGGCGGTGGCGGTGGCGGTGGCTGTGGCGGTGGCACTGGCGGTGGCGGTGGTGGCGGTCTCGCCGGTTTCGGCCTTAGTGGCCTCGGTAATACTTGCCTCGACACGACGGACTACGACGAGGCACGTAAGGACAATGGTGGAGGTGGCGGCGGTGGCGGTGGCGGCGGGGGCGACATCGAAAAGTACGCCCAAGACAATCTTAACTTGAATTGTGGCAGACCGAAGGGATTGAGGCTACTCTTCCGGAAAAAGTTCAGCGTGAGGGATATACTAAGCTGGAGTAAGGATCCTATACCTCAGCCGATGCTCGTCGTCATCGACGGAGAAAAGCTATTGAAACGCGAGGCCTGCAATCTATTCCGGCTCGTTCAGGTCTGTATGGGTTTGGTGATGTTACTGTAAGCTTAGGTAGCGGCGCGAGTCTACTGTTAAGCGATATTAAATATCGTTCAGGTATTTGAATGATTCTATAGTGAATGTCATGTGCAGGTTTATATGGGCGATCGGAAGGCGAATGTGGGCATGACACTGGATGGCGTGGCAATGGAAATTATAAATATCGCGTACTCGAAGCCACCGCTGCGTGACGAGCTTTATGTCCAGATCTGTCGACAAACGACGGAGAATCCGCGCAAGGAGAGCCTCCGTCGTGGATGGGAGCTTATGGCCGTTTGCCTGGCATTCGTGCCGCCGAGCGCAACTTTCGAGCCGTATCTCGAGGGATACATGAATAGACACCGTGACCCGAACTTCCAGTTCCCTGAGGTCGCCAAGTGGCCGATACACGTACAAGTCAGTCATTATGCGACGGTAGCTTGCAGGAGGCTGCAGAGGATCGGCGCCCACGGGAAGAGACAGCCGAGGAAGGCGACCGCCGAGGACGTCGACCAAGCAAGGGTTCGTGCCATTTAATTAATTGAAACCGCGATGACGGCCAAAGAAGCAGTTGATACTCAATCGTTCGCGCTCGTCTAGTCATGCAAAATTAAATAATTTTCACATTTTTTTGTTTGGAATTCGAAAACGATTGCACTACCAGTTTCTCCATATTTAATGACCGTTCAATAGCATTGTCATATCCTTTTCTGTTGCTTTCACAATTTTTTTTTTTTTATTATATATATATATATATATATAGATATTACGTGTGTGCACATATCTTTATCACTGCACTACATTTTTCAATCGTAATGTTAAAGGAAGCCAGACGATATACGAAATATGAAATATATCGAGCAATATAATTGAAGCAAGAGAATTTCCAAAAAGTATCTCATTCGAAAAAAACATCAGGGTCTGTCCCTTTGCGCATAGTGTGTGCGTTTTTGTGTGGACGCACGTGTGTAATTGTGTCTATGCTCCGCAGCTCCAAATTTTCCGTGCATCTATGTTCGGGGCGACGCTGTCCGAGGTAATGGCCTTGCAGCGTGACCGTTTCCCGCAGCGGGAGCTGCCCTGGATCCAAACGACTCTGACACGGCAGGTGCTGATACGAGGCGGTACGATGACCGAGGGCATATTCCGCGTCTCGGCGGACGCCGACGAGGTCAACGTCCTCAAGGCCCGGCTCGACAAGTTCGAGGACGGCGCAATCCTGGCCGCGTCCCAAGACGCCCACGCCCCAGCCTCGCTACTAAAGCTCTGGGTGCGCGAACTGTACGAGCCCCTGATACCGGACTCCTTCTACGCGGAGTGCGTCAACATGAGGCACGATGACGCCGATATATCCGCGGCTGGCGTTGCCGCTCTAGTTCAGCGACTACCCGAACTCAATCGACGAGTGCTTTGCCATCTCATTCATTTTTTGCAGGTCAGTGTGTGCTTATTCGGACTACTATTATTCACGACTTTTCGTTAGTTCGTATAGCTTAGCAATATCAAGTTAGGTTAGTTGTTCACGAGGCTTCTTTCATAGTCGATGCATCGTCATTTTTGTCATCGTCCGTTGACTTTTTCTCCACCTAGCTTGACGAATAAATATAACGATTAAAAATTTAGATTATAATTGCACTCGTAGAAAAGATATTTCTAGTTTAGTTAACAAGTAATAGTATAATAGTGTTCCTTAGGATGTTGAACTTACGTAGATAATCATAATGCATAAAATAATAAAATATTAATATTTCACGATCAAATAAATTTTCCGTTTTTGTTTTAGATATTTGCCAGACCAGATGTCGTCACGCGGACGAAAATGGATGCCAGTAATCTTGCGATGGTAATGGCTCCAAATATTTTGAGATGCACCTCGCAAGATCCCAGAGTCATTCTAGAAAATGCCCGAAAAGAAATGGCCTTCGTTCGCACGATGATCGAGACCCTGGAGACGGCTTGGGTAGAGGATTTGCACTGATCTATGCGCGTCAGATCTAGATAAAAATTCTAAATTGTTATGCCAAATGATGTCCATTGTATATTCGATGTATTTTCATTTATTAATTACCATTGTAATTATGGTTTTTGTCGCTGTTTTGCGGCTTAAGAATAAAGCACTTTATTCCCCCTTTTTTTAATTGTAAGGGCGAAAGTTTTTATTGTAATTACGATGAGGAGGAAACGAGAAAGTAGTATCAGCTTCAAATTCAAGCACTGTACAGATCTTTTAACTCTAGAAGCAATAATGCTAATAATAATAATAATAATAACAACAATAATAATAATAACAAAAGTAACAACTACAAAAATTATAATAGTAAATAATAATAGATAATAATGAATAATAATTATTGAAGATAATTGTAGTAGTAATTATAAAAATAATAATATTAGTAATAATATTAATAGTAAAAGTAACGGTAATAATGTGCAACTTGTAAAGTTTCTTGCAATAATAAGCTATAATGCTATTGACTAAAATAATACCGAAAAGCGCGAAGACAATTTTGCTCAATGTGGAACTTGCATAGAAAATTCAGTTTTACTGATTATTGTAGGTGAAACAACACATGTTCCTTGTTCGCTTAAACTACATAGAAAAGAAAAGTATTTTTGATGCAGCGGATAATCTCCTTTTTAATTTTGCATTTAATGCATTCTCTCTTAGCACGTCATATAATATATATATATATATATATATATATATATATATTTTTTTTTTTTTTTTCGAATGTAAAACAATAGATAAAAATTGTAACGAGTTTCTAGAGTTTGTCTTTTTGCTCCTTGTACTTATGATAAAATATTTATGTGCATAAATAGCATACAATTTAAAATAAATTTGGAAAATAAAAAGAGAGATTAACTTGAGTCATTCTCGTCGTGTGACATTTATTACTTTCGAAAACTTTGTAAAATATGCATATAAAATACGTTAATAACGCCAAAAGTAAGAAAAAAATTTTGTCACTCAACGAGGCTAATTAATCCACGATTCTACGTTCTATCGCTTACTTATTTATTATTTATATATGAAAATTTTATGTTGTATACTAGAGATTATTAGATTTTTATTATGTACATCGCTATAAAACGTATATATATATATATATATATATGCACGCATATATATTTTAACGTCCCTTGTTACCGCGCATGCGTCGACCGCGGATATGGCTTTTTTTACTCGAATCTATTGTTGAATCTCATGTAACATAAAATAATGGCGACAAAGTAAAAAATAACATGTTACCGTGTACAGCTGCACTCCGCAAGAACGTTTTTGTATTTACGCGATAAAGCAAAGTGCATGACTTATGAAATAAACATACTGCGAAAGATTAGCAAGCCATACTCGGTGTTTTTAATTTTTTTTTTTTTTTTTTTTTTAACTATTTGTAATCAAGTATCTCTCCTTGTCATTTTTTCCAAAGAAAAACAAACTTTCTTTTTATACGTGATTTGTTAAATTTTTAGTCTTTAAATGACATTCGACTAACAACATTAGTATCTTCCTTTTGTAAAAAAAAAGGTAATTGTACATATACTTTCACACGCCGTGGATAAACAAAACTACCAGAGAAGCATTTCACTCTGGCGATATACAAATTATTACCTATAGTCATATATAACAAAATGCTAATGTTCAATGCTATTGAAGACTTGTTAAAATGTAATTATACAGAACGTGTAGAGCTATCGTACAAAGGAGATTCATATATGTATTTGCTTATGATTTAGAAAATACACGACGAATATCGCTTACAATGCTATGTTCTGTATAAGAAAAAAAATTTTTTGTTTGAGCTATATGGAGATCTAGGAAATAGAGAGTGAATAAACGAAACATACATGCAAGAATTAATATTTATTAGTGACGATGGAGAATTTAAAAAATATTCGAAATATCTATTTGAATATTTTTTTAGTTAAATTTTTTCAATTTATTGTATGGTAAAATATATATATATATATATATATATATATATATATATATATATAAATCATTAATCATTCATCATTAATCGTAAATATAACGGAAGATTGAAAAATTGTTATATCAGTTTATGACTTGCAGTTTCGTGAATTATTAAATAAATTAATTTACTTCATTATATTCGTCAAATTTCTTCCTAAAATAAAATTGTCAGTAAAAAATATATATCAAGTATGTATGTTTCAGTTATCAAATGTATTTGAAACTATTTAAATGGTGGACTAAGTAACCAAGAGTTTCATAAATTATTTTATCTAACATATTGTTCTTATAGCATGTAATTTGGTAAATTAATTTTTTTATTATAATAAATGAACAGTAACCTTAACAAAAAAAAAATCATCAAACTAATGTACATTCATAAAAATCATAAAGAACTTAAATTTATTTTTTTTTATGATTAAATTTTTTTTCCTACTCATTTAATGATAAAATTATTTAGTGTCTATATTAATTAAGTATTTATAAATTGTACATACGCTACATGCATATCACGTAGAAATCTAAAATTAAAAATAAATTAGTTCACCATTTAAATCACTCATGTATGAAATTAATAAGCATCTTTCATAATTCTCAAGCTAGCTCGCTTGCAGCTAAGTTGTGGTCTTCTAGTTCTCGACTTAGTCGAATTACTTTCAAGATTGAAAAGGTAGATCTATTAGAATTAATAATAGCGAAGGATTTTTTAAAGATGAATTTACGTGTTAGATTTATATCTAATATCTGGCTATCCAGCTACTACAGAAATAAAAAAAGAAAAATCATAATTTATTCAAATGTTTCGCAATACATTTGCTAGACGAATATGGATTTTGAATAATTTAAGAAAAATATCTATTCTTTTTTGGGTAATAAATAAAGTCATTGCTTTAAAAACGTCTTTCAACATTTTGTTTAAAGGTGCATTTATTTGTTAATATCGTTCACTATTATACTATAAAAAATTTTGTATGAAAGTTACTTGTAATTAAGCTATAATTTATTATAAAGAACAATTTGCATTTATATGATAATTAGATACTAATTAGTTTATCTGAAATTAAGCCATTTAATTAGAGTTTAAGAAAAGTTTATTCTAGTAAAAAATAAAACGCGACTATTAAGATGTTGGAGAATTGTTCTGAAATTGTACTGTTTAACTGCAATATCTTATTGTTAAGTAGTAACTAGAAGACCTTTGAATAAAAAATTGCAATAATTATTTTATAAATTGTTTACACAAATTATTATAACTTTTGAATCCCTATTTGCTTATACAGAATATATATAATTAATAAGTTATCATTAATTACAATGCTCGTTTAAGTATTCTGATCTTTCTCTTATATTTTATCAAACATATTCATAATAATGCTTCAAAAAGTTTAACATTCAAGTAAAAATTTTTATAAGTATTATTAAAATATCAATATTCTAAAAACTAACTTCAAAATTAATTATGTAAATTTTAATGTAATGTTAACATTCGAGTAATCAATTTGTTCCTTCTCGTCTTAATTTGAAATAAATAAATACATTATTAATATATTAAATTCTAGTTAAAAAATCCTCTAAAAATGTTATATTAAACATATTTCTCAGAATTTTTTATAATACACTAATCTAAATTAGCGGTTGAAATGTAATTAAAACGTCACCTATTCCAAGTCAATTCTATGCTGCAGTAAAATACGATAATATTCATATTTTATATTTGAGTAACGACCGTTACATAAATAATGACAATAATTAAAACAAAATAATTTAACGATTAGATTATATAAAATATTAAAAATTGTATTATATTGAATTAAACTCTTAATATAATTAACAAGCTTTATGGCAAGAGTTATTGATTGTAAACAATATAAATTATAATATCGATTAATAATAATAAAAATAATGATAGGTTTGGCATCACTTATAAGGTCATATGAGAAGTATGTATAAGAATTTAATAAATTTAATTGCGGCTTGACAAATACCGAAAAGCAATTAATAATTTCATTATATGCCAAGGAGAATTGAAAACATTTTATTTCTTTTTTATGTTGATACGTGAAATTAGATTATAGTTTAATGTAACTGAGAACAATATAAAAAATTGTTTAAATTCATTGCTTGACAGATCATCATTAATAAAATTGGATTACAACGTTAGATTACCTAGAGTTATACAAGCAATTTTAGATGACCAATATATATCTGAATATTTTTAGATTCGATTGGCTTCATAGCCTGGCGTAAGCAATGGATCTTGATATTATAATATAGCATAATCAATATTTTAGATCAATATTCGAATTGACAGGTGTTTTCACTTTCTCATTTTATGAAGTTTTTATGAATATGGAATAAAACGTATTTCAAGATAGATATTGCGTCTCTATTTATAAGAGGAAGCTTCAAGAGGAAGTTTAAAAAACAGTCACGATGACTCATGACCTGGTGATACAGTGCGATACAGCCACGAAGTCTTTCTTGGATGACATAAGATGGAAAGAATAGACATTAATAACCATCAAACTACTGTTATTTGTAGAGATAAAATTTCAGAAATTCGGCCAAGTTGATAATTAAGTGCTAATTTTGCAGTATATTGTGATATATTTGGTAAAGAAAGAAGATAAAACCTACATAATAAAGAATATGTATAATTTTATCTATTAAGAAGTCTATGACTGAATATTAATAGACATTAAGAGAAAGCAATAATTGTATTATCTGAAGAATTGTATTATCTATTAAATTATTATACAGAGCAGGCATATGGTATGTGATAATTTAAGGTTTTCAGTTGAAGTTTTTGCACTCGATACAATTACTATTTAATTTAATTTTTAACAATAACTGTACTATTTGTGAGAAGCAGAAAATATATTCTTAAAATGTAATTGGTGTCCCACGAGCATGGTGACATGTCCCATTCGAAGAACCATATTCAAAATACTTTATAATACATATTTCATGTAAATAACGCAAGTAGTGTAAGAATTATTTTTGTACGTGTAAAAGGTGCAAAAAAAGAAAATATTCGGTTTTATATTCGATCATTGTTAAATTGGTTTTCTTGACAAACACAAGAATAATGTAATATACTTTTATTACGTCTCATCGTTTTTATCTATACAATGATGATTATAAAATTGATGATGAATTCGCTAATGAACGCAAAGAAATAAAATAATCAAGATGTTACAACATTTGTTAAAGATTTTAATCAAATAATTAAATTTATAATCGCGCATGTATTGTATTCCATATAAATGTATCGTGAGATATTAGAACATATTTATTGGCGTTGTTGGTAAATAGTAGAAGAAATAAAGGTACAAGGATCTCCTGTAGGATACAGTGATAGACTGCTTGGTGTTCGAATGACTTTTTAAATTAGTTCATCGATAATTAATCGATACCTTAAAGATTACTAATCGAATATCGTAACATTCCACGGGCATTACATCGGCAACTAAAGCATGAAATACTTCGGTCCACAGATTATTCTAGATTTACGAACCTTAAAAAACACGGATATAAATAGATTGTTTAGAATTTTTTTAACTGTCCACATTAATTTATAATGATTTGAAGCAGATTTTGCAGCGATAAATACAAATCTTAATGCAAAATTTGTTACACACCGTCGACCATGCAGTATGTTAAGTTTTTGGACATACAGATGACTATTCATCCTTGAAAGATATGTAGGATAATGAATGGTTCTCATCACATCCGATGTAGTTGATTTATATGATGGTAATACGATAGAATTATTATTATTTCGGAAATGAAGTTGTAGTATCCGAATCAATGAGTAATTCATATGCATTTCAGCTGATTCTTAAACGAGATTACATATTTAATGCTCAGTTAATCGTTTAGAACGAGCTAGTTGGATTAACTTGAGATACAAATTCTTGTGTTCATCTCTTTAAAAAATGATAGCAGTATTTGCATAAATGTCCAGTTAAATAAACAGAAGAAATTTAATTAATCAGTTTGAGCTATTTACTTGTGTGTAAGCGGAAGAGGAAGAGGTAATATATAGGGAGTGAAAATAATAAAATAAGCTGAAACAAAAACCAGATGATTGAGATGTGGTTGAGAAACTCATAATTTTTTAGCGAAATTAGTTGATAATACCTTGGAATATGAGTTAAACGTCAACGTCAATATTCTTGAAAATCGCTTTAAATGATTAACGTTGGCTTCACTCTGTTGCGAACAGTATCTTTTAAATTAGGAACATTGACAAATAGTGCGTATGGTGTATGTGTATATTATATGCATAGGGAAAATGTATTATGTGACGTTTTTCCATGGTTTTTCCTCCGATACAATTTAATAATTATTGAATTTTAATGAAACCCTTGGGGGGTTATACAGGGTGAAAAAAGTGAATATTTTATATTCTCTTCAACAAATTTTACTCTTGCTCGCTACTAGAAATGTCCAGCAATTTATCAACTTTACCAGCAACGAGAAGAAAATGTCTTTCAGACTTCTTTACATTCAATTGCATTTAATTGAATCCTATTGCGAGTAGTAGCGTTCGCGAAACGACTCATCAATGTCAATCAATTTCTTTCTACTTACACTTTACGGATTTATTTTATCCTTCGATTTTAATAATATAAAATAATAAGACTAACAGCATATAATCAACTATGACCCTCGTCTTCTATTATGAATCTGGATAAATGTTTGCTTCCCTATCCGATATACTTTAAAGATCAATAATGTAAACGGCTAAGATAGACTGACAATATCAAATGATAAGACAAGACAAGCTAATGAATATACGCGAATAAAGTCACGTGATCTGCTAGGAGTGCGAGGAGGGCAATTTAGGAGAAATATAGCAGTTGTTAGAAAAGGATACGCACAAAAATGGAAGCAGTATTAAAATTTTCAACTCTCTTTGCCATCGGCTACGAGTAGTATGAAAAGACAATGTCGATAAAATCCTCTTTGGTAAGTTTGGTATTGTTTTAGGATCAACGGCTAGTTATTTGAGATTGAAGAATTCGTGGGTGACAAGATGTGACGAAGAGGGGACGTGACTTCCTCGACGGTATCGTTCTCGCTGTAATCTTGAACTATTGAAAAATGATTATAAGCTTTCAGTATCGCCCGTAGCATCGCTACATTTGTCACACTTATGATTTTTATTTATCTCATATGACAAATCGGAATAACATTGACAATAACCCAAAGTACGGTTTAAGTTTGAGTTCATAAAATCCTCTATTTCGTCAATTTGACGTCAAACAAGCATTTTGAACAAGTTTTGAATAACAAGTAACCGATTGGTATTTCCGAGATAAATTTGATATTTTCATACGGAAAACAAAAAATTTGTACAAAGAAATCCAAAGAGCAAATAAAGCAGTGCCGTAAGGTTTGAAAAATTCAATTATACATAAAATAATATTTGGAAATTGTAATATTTAATTATAAAAAAAACATGTAGAGTATTATTATTGAATTAGATGACGTAAATGATAAAATAAATTATTATTTATTACTAATTCTCAGTAATTTTATATTTATTATTTTAATATTGAATATACTAAAATTATTTAAATATTTTATGTGAATTAATTATTACATGTATTTGTGTATGTGTGCATATGTGTAGGCATAAAAACAACATTAAAAATTGTTAAAAAATTTGTGACTAGCAATTATAAAGTTTCTTGAACTAAAATATTCAATTTGATAAGCCATTGACTCTTTATTTTTATGTAACAGTGTACAGTGTTAAAACAATCAAAATAATTCAGTAAAATAAATATGATCTCTTATTAATAGACTACGCGATAAACTTTCTATTTTAGGCGCTCCCTTACTGTGAGAAATATTTAAAACAAATGTAGATCGGATCATTACTTAAAGTAAGCTTATCATTACATCACATTTGCCAATATGTTGTATATCATAAATTTAATAACTTATGCTTAATTTTCAAATTTCTATTCACGAGACCGTAAGATTAATTGGTAAAATTTATCGATCTATCAATTTAGCGAAATAATTAGACTTTTTATATTAATTAATAATCGAAAATAAATTAATTTAAAATTTTTTTTTATTTTTGAGATTAAATATTGTTCGCTATGGAATTCAAAGTCAAATATGTGCTGTACAAAAATAAAAATTTGTGTTGATATTTTTCTTATCATAAGTTTTAGAATATTAAGATTTTGCATAAATGAATAGAACGTTTAAATTGTAACTATTTCATTGATTTATGCGACTATAACAGCTTGTTTCAAGCAAAGATTTATCTATAAATAGTCTACGACAGGATTCATTCACCCTTTGGGAACCGCTATTATTATCAAACAGCATAGTCCCCATTTATGTTGTACAATTTAAGAAAAATTTTGTCTAAATAATATTAAAAAAGACTTTATAAATAATTCTTTCTTTAGTATTTTCATTAAAAAAAAAAAAAAAAAAAAAAAAAAAAATGAAAGGTCGGAGAAATGCTTTATATGCTACGAGAAAGACTACAAAATGCATCCAACCTCTAGTTAGCTTAAATTATTACAATATATCACAAATAATATATGTATACATAGTTAATGTATATAGTTATATTTTCATATAATAATAATAAACAACAAATTAAATTAAATTTAAAGACCATTAACAACCTCTACAACACTGAGTAATTTGTTTCTTAAAAGAGTTAATAAACCAAATAGTATTGAAATGTATGTATAAAGTGCGATAATATTAACTATTAGTTTGCAAGGTTAATAGGATGCGATTAACTTTATAAAACAAACGATTTATATTGAATAAATCTGTAAATGTACATTGGTCATGGAAAAATAAGAATTTCATAATTATTGATTTGGACCTCATATTAACTGCTATTTATTTACTTTAGATCTCATTTAATAAAATACGTGAAACACGTTATTGGAAGCCATTTGATCATTATTTTAAAAAAAAGATCATACAATATTTACTACAATACTATTAATAATTAAGCGCTTATTAGATAATCACTAATATTGTCGCAATAGTAAAAAGTAGTGAAATACTTCAATTTTTGTACAAATGAATCAATATTTCGTAAATGCTTGTATTTCGCATTGTATTTCATAAATATTGCATGAAAATTCATATTTTGTTTAATTAAGTAGTATTTAGCTGCACTCGCTCGATCGATTCGATTAAATAATATAATTCGATATTGGTAAAAATACCCTTTAACTCCGGCTGTCCATTAAAATAAACAAGAGTTGAAAAGGAAATCTGTTGTTTAACGAAAGTATCCACTAAAGTACATAATTATTACAGATCGATGCGAATATCGCCTTATGATAATTAAAGCGAGAATTGACACCGTGAACAATATACACGACTCTCTGAATTTCTTAGAGATAGATTTATCAAATAGATAACGCCGTGGTAAACGTATCGCGATTACGCGATCCGAGTACAGTAACGAATGCATCCAATTTTTAACTTCTAAGAAACGCAAAAAGCCGATAATTTATGTAAATGTCGATTACGAGGCTTGAGAAGCAGTCGAGAAGGGAGGACCGATTGATTTTTGATATGTCCCCTGTCCCCCTAGATTCGTGAAAAGTCTCCTCCAATAAGAAACAGACGCGTCGAAAAACTCCTTCTCTATAAGAGAAATAAAGAATGAGGCGAAAGAGGCGAAATGTAGGCAGACCTCCAAGGAATTCAGAGTGTGCGCATAAGCGATTGTAGAATGCGCCGCGCCACGATCCGTCGCAAATTTCTCGGGTTACTTTATTTACAAGATATACAGGTGAGCGGACCTCCACGATGCCGCGATGCACCTTGGTCAGCAGTTGTCGAGGAAGGAGGCAGTTGAGCCGCTCGCTATCTCCGCGTACTCCTGTCTGCTCGCCGAACAGAGCTTGCTCGAGAAGTCGGCCTCGCGTTTCCTGGAACAGGCGTTAGACGCTCGTGATTATTTGGCGCTGGGGAACGACGAGGAGTAGGGGATAACGTTAGGCTGGGCGAGTGTAGCTTACCCTCTGCCCGGCAGCTCCATCACGTCTACGACGACGCTGTTAATGTAGAGCCGGTCGTTACACCAGAAGAAGCATAGCGAACGGGGCTGCAGGACGTCCATGTCATAGGCCCAGGAGAGCTCCACCCGTCGCACCTTGCCGATCTCGCCGGTCGAGCCTCCCGGGTGCGCGACTACCATACGCGTCGTCGTCCCGTGCTCCAGCTTCATGTAACCACTGCATTAATCAAATAACATGATCCTTTAGGATTATGTTCGAGTATCGCGTTGCTGGTGAGGGGAGGGGGGGGGCGAGTAGACTCGAAGGTTCCGTGCATGCCATACGATGTTCGAGAATAAACGGTTTCGAGAATGAATAAGTGTTTAGCGAGTGTTTAATTTCCTGTTAATGGGTATACGGATCTACGACTTACCGATAAAAAAGCCGCTTTTTGATAGAACGAAGATTGGCAGTCGGCATTAAGTAAGGCAAATAAAATAAAGGAGAAATGTTTTGATACTATAAGCAATGATAATTGATATTTTATTAAAACAATAATTTGAATTTTTACTGTAATGGTTAAATTGCACAATCGTGATTGGAAAACCGTGAAAACCGAATCATTTTATTGTCTTTCAATAAAATTAATATCCTTCGCTGAGTATATTGTTCTTGGGGTTGTGTCGAAATTCCTAAAGTTTAAAATTTGACAATATTAAGTAGCTCCTTCGACCTTTGAGTTGTGAAATTAAACTTACAAATACGTATTTCTCGAAACTTCTTTCCTTCCTTTTTTTGTCATTTTTTTTTTTTTTTTTTGTGTTACGTATCTCTCTATCGATTCACAATTATTTCGGCTAAAAAGTACAGACATTATTAATATAATTAAGAGATAAGATTAGCTTCACGAGAATTATTTGGACAGTAATGATTACCTCGACTTCTTAATGTCGCAAGCCGTTAAGTCGTATACGATTTGATTTTATTTACCAGCTGGAACTTATTCACATGAGTATGACGCAAAGTCCACTGCGGTATTTCGCGTATGCATCTCAGGCTCTGAGTATGCATATATTATTATCCATATAGAAAGTAGGAACAATCGATTCGATGAATAAAAAAGGATAAGGATGAAAATTTATGTACGTATCTGTCCAAATATTATTTACCTTGGAGTTAAATCCATGTTACGTATTACGCCATTATCCGCGTGGAGCGTGACTTTCATGTATCCTTGCACCCAACTTTCAGCAGTGGGTGGCCTGGCCAAATTAATTGTTATTCTGTAGTGTCGTCCTAGAAAAAGAAGAGTCGGAGTTTCAAAAATTCTTAATGGGTCCGATAAAAGTACGAATCATCTATTATCATTCTCTATGTAATTTCTCAACTGTAATTTTTTATTTATGATTATTTGCGAAATGACAATCTTTCTTTATTTCGCCATGAATGCTTAAAAAAAAAAAAAAAACTCAAAAAAACAAAAACAAACCAAGAAGAACTAGAAAAAAAAGAAAAGGTAAACAGGTAGCCGAGGAATTTCAAATAAATACTTCATTAAATGCGAATTATCGTCAAAGAGTTAAATATAATTTAATGGTAATGGCTTTTTAATTCTATAACTGCCTCTATAATTCCATAATAATCCAAATGACAATGTCTCAATAACATGATTTTATGACTTATTTCACATTCTATTCTGCATTTGTAATTATGTTATTTCAGCGATTAACTACTACTTATTCGATGAATAAAGCAAGTGGCATTAAACGAAAGTCTCATCAAAGGAAATATAAAATTTATCTTTTTTTCATCTTACGGAATATAGTGGATATACATTTATAGCATTTCAATAACAGGAGATGTTACATGGAAATTCATTTGATTTGTAATTTAAATGCAAATTTTCACCATTCTACAAGTTAAATATATACTTTATATTAATAAGAATAATTATAGAGAGACTAAATGATCGTTTAACATTTATTCTACCATTTATAAAGAATTTTAATAGACATTTAATTATTTTATAATTTTTTTAGGATTTTTGTAGTCTAATTACTGTTGCATTCATTTTCATCGTCATTTTTTATGGTATCATTCTTGAAAAATATTTAAAAAAATGAAAAAACCAAATCATCTTTAAAACTTTATGGAGAAATGTAGAGGCAAAGAGTATTTAATGAGATGGTGCAGTAATCAATATATGTATATTTTGCAATAATGGCTGAAAGTAATCACGTGAATCGTAATTTTTTATTTACAAATTGACATTTAATTATTTCAGATATGTTGAAAATATATTTGATATAGATTTAATATAATGCGTAGGGAGTCATAATATGTGGGTTAAACGAAAAACTTTGCATTAAAAATGTGAATAAAAAGATTATAAGAGATAACTTTGTGAAAATATCGGTTCTACAGATTAAATCGCCAAAGTTGAATATCATAAATGAAGATAAAGAAAGCCCTTAACAATTGAATTGAAAAAATGCAAAGGAGAAGATCCAACTCGGGTGATGTCATAATGGGAAGGTAATAGGACAAGAAAGCCCTGCTATCGATCAATCAAATGGCAAATGGCAAATGGCAAACGCACCCGAGAAATTTGAGATTAGAATAACTCACTACAGTAAGGATCATCCTTGCCCGTGGAGAAGAAGAACTTGGAGCCGAGAAGGGCCGACATATCCTGGCCCATCTGCTGCCTTCTAACGAGGGCGGGACTGCTGTCCGCGTGGTAGCCCATGATGCCACAGCCGAGGCTGTTGTTGCTCTTGCAGGAGAAGCACTCGCCCCTGAGGAAGCTCGCGTAACTGCCGCACTCGTGAGCGATATACTGGCACTTGCCGTTTATGCTCTCGATGAAGAGCTTAATGGCGCGCACGTGGTTGCAGGCGACGAGAACGCGTGAGGCCTCCTCGAGACCCTCGCGAATCAGCGTTAAGGGCAGCGAAGGCGTTGTCTCGCTTAAGTCCGTGCAACCCGGCTGCTCCTTGCCATTGTTGGGGTAGAAGTCGAGGTGCCCGCACGGTTGGCTCATACCGTACCCTGGAAGACCTTAGCCGCGCTTTATAGTTCGTGGTGCGATTGCACATGGGCGAGGCCGCTTATTTTGCTCGTTTGCTCGTTTCCATTAAGCCAAGAATAAATAGCTATGATTAGCTTAGGATGTAAGGGTGTAGTGCAATTATCACGCCTTTGTTTATTGTCATTTGCAACTAGTCGTGCTCCGCTATGCCGGGTATGGAGCACCAGGTGCAAACTAAAAGATTAAAAGGAGGCCGAGCGAGAAACAGCCCAACGCTGTTTTTACGACAGCACGTCTTATTCTTCGTCGGGCTCTTATCGATCGCGAATACCGTCGCAATGCAACGAAGGCGCGTAATGATTGATAGCGCGCGCGTGAGCTTACGATTTTTGCAAAGAAATTTTGTATGTCGAATTGGTTTTCGCATTGATTTTGTCAAATTATATGAAAAACGTGAGCGGCCTACGATAAAAGCTTCGACAATAAATTAAATAAAATGACGAGGGTATGCAAGCGGACGTGAATTGTGCCTTGGGGGGGGGGGCCTTGGAAGCGCGCATGGGTAAGAATTTAAAAGCGAGCGAGCATTTTCTGTGACAGTAATTACGGTTTTACCGGAAAGTAGTGTTTCGTCTTCTTTAATCGGTCTCAGCTTTGAAATGCAAATTCCGTGCCGAAGCAAAGAAAGCGCCAGTCGCGGAGGAAGAAGTTTTCCCCACCTGCAATTTGCTTTCTATTTTTCACTTTTTAAACTACGACTATAATTAACCGAATAGATCGTCCGGTGGCTCGCGAA